TTGATAATGGAGACTATAGGCACAAAGCATTCTATACTCAGAGCAGGATTCTTTTTGTTATTATATCAGTGTGTGTAGGTAGGATTCATGAGTAAAGTTTGATTTATACTAGTTGTACAGCCATAATAATGCATTTTTTAATATAACATCATATTTATATTATATTTTAAAATATTTATATTATATTTTAAAATATTTATAAAATATTTTAAAAAGGCAGTAACAAGGTATAAAAAGATAGCAAGGATTTTCTCCTTTTTACAGAGTATCAATAACTTTATTATTTATTCATACTTTTAGTATTTAGTACTTAGAGTTATAATTAGAAAACAGCAAGAATCGGGATTTTTTTTAATTAGAATTGGTTTTCATCAATATGCTTGGGGATTAGAAAAGCCCCAAGTTATAAAACTTTCCACTAGTTCCAATGAAAATTCAGGCTAATGTCAAATCATTACAAGTTTATCAGGCATTTGTCATAACAACACTAATTATGAATTATATCATTTTCTATTCTTGAGAATGTGAAAAGTAATTAAATTGTGAATCATAGTTGATGCACAGTTTTAAAAATTATTTCTTTTGGAAAATCAAGGTGTATTGTTCTTTTGTATTCTAAATAAATGCTTAATAGAAAAATGAAGTTTAATAAAAATCTAGATCTATCAGAATAAAATAATTTTGTTATGAATAATGACTTGATTATATTAATAAATTTTAATATACTTATTGTAAAGATGTGACCCCCTTAGTTTAGGATTTAAATATTAGGATGTTTCTTCATTATACCCAACTTTAATTTTAAAATAGAGATTTAATTAGATGAATTAAAGACAGAGTCATGATAATATTGCCTGTTATATAGTCTCTTCTTTGAAAATGTTATAATTGCAGGGTTCATAAATGATGTGGAGATTAAAATCTTTGTAAATCTTTAAGCGTTGTAATTAGCCTTCATTACTTTTTGGCTAGCCAGATTTAAAAGCATACAAGTGATTAATTTAAAATCAGCCACGCTGAAAAAAAGATTCAATATTTTTAGTCAATTAGCTAATTCTAATTTCGCTTTGTTTCCTGTCACGCTGTTTCCTATTCTCATTTTTTCCTCCGAAACTGCTAATATAGCAGTAGGAAATTAACAATGTAGTAAGTCATAAATATCATGTTCTGCTGAATTTTTTAACTTATCACTGGTGGTCCTGTTTTAGATTGCAAATGTTCCTCTTACCGGTGATGACTGAAAAGCTTATTACAAGCTCACACATTCGCTTTCCTTTACATTTGGAATGATCTGAGCAAGAGAATTAACATTTACTTAGTTTCAAGTAAAAGTTGTCCTCTGAGTCTCAGCTTCCAATGCAACTATTAAAATGTGAGACATCTCCTGTGCATTTATTCCTGCAAAATGCGTCCTGCTCTTTAGTATACATATATTTTAATTTAAATAAATGACGTTCTATTATGTATCTTACTCTGCTTCTTCATGCCTTTCCTCCAGCATTGTGCTTTTTGAAAAGATGCATCCTTTGTTTTTAATTGTAAATATGAGTTACTTTGTTCCACCCTATTTTCTTATACTCAACTTCCTTCAGTTCCCCTTTATAACCACGTTTTAGGGGAGGAACTGAAGCTTCAAGACTTGAGTAATCTTTCCAGGACTGCACAGTTGGGATTGGAACTCTGGCTTTCTCTACCAGTTTCCACCAGCACTCATGTCCTGCAGGGGCCTGCTCTGTGCAGGGGCCTTCTATGTGGGCTGCTGTGGTAGAGTCTGAATGGCTGACTCCACGTCCCGCATCAACCTCAGTTTTGACCTTACCACATAGTTTAAGTAGAATTATTCAGTAACTGATACATGAAACTAAATTCTATTAGTATTATAAAAGTCACATAGCGTTTAATGAAGACCTAAAAATACTGTTTTAAAAAACTCTAGTCAAGACTGAAGTGGAAAGAGAAGCACAAATTATTAAATGGCTACTCAGTGGCAGGCAGTGTAGCAGAAATTTTTTGCCCAATAATTAACCTTTATTCGTTTAGGTGCTCTATAATGTAGCTAGAATGATTCCTGTCTCACCAATCAGAAAAGTATCCTGTGTTGCTATAATTGATCACTGGCAGAATCAAAAGTTTACTCAATATTCTTCACCTTCCAAAATTTATATTTTTCTTACTAAATGATATTATCTTGTATTAATAAGGCCTCTGTTTAAAAAAACAAAAATATAGAGGGAAGTTTGAGTGATACCCAGGTGTCTATCTCATTTTTATAACTTGCTCAGTGGGAGCAGTCTCCCCAAAGGGGACAGGTAGGCTTTTCTTAATATACCCCAGAGTAGGCCTTTTGTCATTTGGTACGGGAACTAGAGGTAAATTAAGGCTCTGTGAGCCTTGGGAAATTTACTATTATTTAAAGAAAGCAGATTGTTTGGACTTGAGAACAGTGAGAGCCTTGAAGGCTAGGAGAAGCTTCTGTCCTTGTCTAAGTCCTTTACTCTTCCCTAATCAAAATAAAAATTGCCTTGTCATAAGTTTCTGTCCTCTTCCTAATCACAGACCCAATCGCTGCTCTACCTTTTATGACCTGGAAGAATGTAGCCTGGGTTGAGGCATCTCATCCACCAGTAGGCTTATCAGTAAACATGTTTTCTCTAGGAATCTTGCCTTTACTCTCAGAATAAAGGGTGGCATTCCACTTCTTGGCTGTCATGTGAAGTCTCTCCGTCTTTATTGCTCCAGGTCTCAAAATACAGGATAAATATTTCTGCTTTGCCCCCTTCATTATTTTTAAGAATGTGCAGTCATGTAAATTCAATGTTGCTAAATTGTTTTTCTTTTGCTAACTCATCTGATGCTGTTAACTCATACTGCCGAGAAGAACCCAGAGGGGTTCAGGATGGTTTCTTTTGCACCCCAACACACTTAGAGTCAGCCTGAGCAAAGGTTTGTTTGAAATTTTTTCCAATTTCTTATTTATAAATAGCCTAAGAGGGTAGTAAAGTAGAAAATCCATGCTTTATATATCAATTAGAGATTTATTTTCCTAGAAAACAACCATTTTGAAATTAAATTGATAACAAAGTTAGAAAACCCTTCTCATGTAAAGAAGTTTGCTGTGTTCTTAAAGCATTTTGAATTGATATGTTTTTTGTTTATTGGTGTATGGACATCATGACTATGTCTGACATTGTTTCTGTTTTCCATTGACCTCTAAGTAAAAATGACCTTCAGGTCTTTATGGAGATAATGGCAGGGAAGTATTAAGGATCTGTATAGATTTTGGAAAGGTCACTTTTCCAAAACAGTTGTTGAGCAAAAACATCACATCATCTTTCAGGAGATCATTTTTCTCATAAGCATGAGCAGTGATGGGTAGAGGAGAGGTTCCGTGTCAGTTGAGGTACAAGGATGCTTCCTCAATGATAAAACCCGGCAGCAATTCAGAACAAACTGATGTTTGGCATAGGTATGTCTTTTTCTTTAGAATCATCTTTCTTCCCCTATTTCTGCTAGATGATCAATCTTAAGATAGGATAGTGTTGGAGAAAGGCAGACGAGAATTGAGCTCAGCAAAGAAGTTCTAAGTGAATTTGCTTATTCCGGAAAGTCAGAATCCAGCCGCCAGAGGTGGGGATAGGCTTTTCTTAACATACCCCAGAGTAGGGCTTTTGTCATTTTTTTTTTTTTTTTAAACTGGAAGCAAGCCTGTGGGGCTTGAGCCTCTAGTGGCCCTCAGATCCCACTCCAGAGGAGACCACTTTGCTCCTTCCCTGCAAAGTGTTCTCTTGACTCAGAGGTAATTAGCAGAAGTAATTAATAGTGTTACTGTGAGGATCCTAAGGCTGCTTGATTTACTTTCAAATCAAATGGAAAACTGTAGTGTCCCTTTAAAACACCCAAAGGCATACTTGACATTTGCAAGTTTAATGTCTATGTTTTTTAGATAATGCAATGTTTTGACAGTATCTGGAAATAGCAAGACACTGATTTTCTTTCAAGAGTTAGATTTGTTAATATTTTATAATATGTTAAGTATTAGAAGCAAAAGGGGGGAAAGGCAGCATTTAATGTAACAAATTTTAGAGCATCAGTATGTAATTGTATACACATACATACTAGAAGGACACATGTACAAGTAATTGTACAAATAGGATGACACCACTAACCGAGTTTGGAATGTGGATGCTGACTACCAAAATCTTAGCAAACTACATATTGAAAATGTGTAAACCATTTTTTCAGGAATATAATATCTTGTAGGACTTATCATTTAAGATGGTATGAGGCTGCACTTTTTCAAAATTATTTTAAATAGTTTGAAGAAGAGTGAAATAAATAGTTTGAAGAGTGAAAATACTTGTTAAATATATCTTTAGAAGCTTAAATATTAGAAATTCACTGCTTTTATCCTTTCAAGTTCTGTGTAAGTCATTTGAACTACACATAAATACAGATAGGAAATATGATTTTATATTTAATATGCTTTTGTGTGCTATATATAACATCTTTCTCACCTTTTATTTATGTAATTCATTACTTCAGAGTATGATAATCAGTTACCTACTACCTGTGTGCCCTTGAGGAGAGTCTTATTATTGCTTGTTCTAGTTGCTTTTCTAAAAAGAATGAGAAAAAGATGAGATAGATTTTTTATGTTCCTTCCTGTTCTAAAATTCTATGGGTTCTATGATCCTATGTCTTCTCTCTTTTTTCCCCCTCCCTGTGGAGTCTCATAGTCTTTGTTCATCTTACTCTTTTACAAATTTGAATCAAAGACTTCTTGGCAGAGTGTCAGTTCTCTGACAATCTGTGACAATATATTATTTTGTGCAAATGTTACCAAATGAATAGCTGGTAGAAGTTGTTCCTTTTACAATTCTAAACTTGCTGAGTTTGATGAATAGGATCTAATATTTGGCATTTTTATCTTTAAATGTCATCATTTTAATCTTTGTAGGAAATTCATTTATATAACAAACTTTAAATCCCTTTATACTCACACGAATGAGATGTAGGGGAAATCACTTTCCTTCTTGCTCTCTTGATACCTTCTTTGTTGACAGAATGGATGGGCGAATCTGTGCTTCTTTTAGATGAAATTTTTCAAAGTGGGAAATTTTCTATACTAACATATTACCTATCATTTATATTTTTTCCGCACAATCTTCATATAACTGCATTTTTTTGAGGTTAAGCTTAATATCTAAACACCACTGAATCCATCCCATACTCAAGATATTTAGATTTTAGTTGCTGTTATTTAGAAAGATTTGATGATATTTTGAGCAAGAATATCATAAATTGGTTTCAACAATAGCTTCAACCACCTGAGTCTCTCTCTCTCTTTTTAATGATATGGTGCCTATACTTGTCAGGTCATAAAAACCTTCATCCTGTGAAGTCACTTACCTTGTGACATGTAAATTATTTTTCAGTCAAAGCTATGTAAATCTTTACTTTGCAATTGTACTTTCAGGAAAGGGTTTAATTTGAGAAAAACAATAACAACAACAACAGCAACAAGATTTCCCCCTTCTTCTGAAAGCAACATTCAACATTTGCATGGCTTCCATATGCTACAAATGTTTGCATAAGAAATTTATTTTCTATTTTATGCCTGCATTGCTTAAAGTCTATAGTTTCAATGATTCAAAGTTTATCAGAAGGCTGTATACTATTATTATGATTTCAGCTAATCAAGAAACAATTTTTAGTACATAATCACCCTCTTTACCGATTCAAGTAGACTTGCAAAGAAGTTGTCACATTGTAATCTTATTTTTGAAGGAATGAGCCTACTATTGGGGAGACATGTATGAAGTAGTGAAAGAAGAGATATAATCATTTTGCCCAGATCATTTGAATTTTGCTTGGATTAATTAAATATCACGTTACATTGAAATCATCTGTAATGCCCTATGTATTCAAAGATGTGTGGAAGATCTAATGACTAATTCATGGAAGGTGGTTTATCTTCTGTGCTGTACTACTGATAATACATCAAAGCTAAATCAATTAGTTTGTCACATTTTTACTGTTGACCTTTTCGGGTTTTATTTCATATAATTAACTCTTTCCTCTATTAAACATCATCAAATTAAGGCGATTTGAGTATTGCATTGCTCTGGGAAATCTATTAATTTTCCTTTATTTGGTTGCTTACTTGGCATTTTACTTTACCGTGTTAATTATATCCTATGTGTTTGCGATTTGGAGTGTGTTCTATAAAGGAAAATATCTAGTACAATCATTAGTTTACCTGAAGGATTGGTTTTTTTTAAGTTGCGGTAATCTGAGTTCATTTTGTGTTTGTATATTTTGTTAATGGGTATAAACTAACAAATGAAATATAGAAATTCTGCTCCATTTTTTCTGGAGTCATCTTTAGAAACTACCAAACAATTACAAAAGTTAGATTATTCACCTTGCTTTGTTTCAGTGTCTGTATATTTAACATGTTTTTTATATCTCCTGGGTGGCATGGATGTTATGTAAAGTGACTTAGGAGAAATGAACTTCCTGAAAAGAAACCAGTTCACATAGAAAAGCTGATTGTCATAAAAATTAAGAAGTCTGGAAGTCTAATGCCATGTAGGGACATAGACCACCTATAGCAGATTAGCTTGGAAAATCAAAACAGGGACAGGATAGCTCAAGTTAAAAAGAAAAAAAAAAGTAAATATGTCTTGTATGGAATATCACTTTTCTCTTAAGTTCTTTCTGATTGTTTTATTTAATTTTAAAGTAAATATTGAAGGTAATGAATTATTCTACATTTAATTAAAGATAAAGACTCATTTTAAGTTTGAAAAGTCTTTTGCATTTGAATATTGGCAATCTTGTTTAAGTAAATAGATTTTAGGTCTATTTTCTCAACCAGTTCAATCCCAGAACTTAGCCCACCAATACAATGTTTTATATATAATTGAATTCTGAAAAAGTGATATTCCTTTTTTTTGTTTATAACTTTCAATCTAAGGTAATTGCATAGAGACAATGAGAATGGTAAGTAGTGATGTATTCTAGCTACTTCAGTCTATGGTCAAGTGCTAAGTATATATCCTTTGACAAGTTATTTAATCCTTGAAAACTTTCATTTATTAATCTTTAATATGTAGAAAGTAGGATTGCACTCTTACTCTTACAGTCAGGATTAAAGGAGGCAATCCACCTGAGTGTGACTGCTTCATGATAAACATTAACTAATGGTACTTATTACTACAAAGGGACCAGGACTAGCATTTTATTTGGTATGGCTTGAGAATCAGATAAACATAAGATATAATTTTTTTATCATTATTAGAAAAAGAAAATAACGTTAAGAGGGGATCAATTATAATTTATTGCAAAGGTAAGTGACGTGGTTGAGAAAAAAAGTAGGTATGACTTCATATTAAGTCATATTATTTATCTGACTTTAAGGAGTAAAACCATGAGTTCTAGGATGAAGTAGCCAGACCTAGTAATGTGCACCTTCATAGCAGACGGTGGTGACGTTTTGATGTAACTGTGGTGAATCCTAAGCACAGGGTTAGCAAGCAAAGTCATTTGAGTGATAGAATTATGCTTATTTTCTACAGATGCAGGATTCTGAAAATGTGATTTACGGAGTTTATAGGAAAAGCAGTCAAGGAAGGAAGAACTAAAGATATGGATTGAGGTTTCAACCGAGGCATAGTTTAGCTAGGGCTATGGGTGTAGTGAGAGAAATTTTAAGGATGAATGTGGTAATATATATGAAACACTCTGTTCCCTGGAAGAAAGGTTCTATAAAAACATAACATATTGCTGATTCTTAGAATGAATGGTGAAGGTTGAAAGATTTTCAGACACAGGGAAAGGGCACATTCACATTCCAGTAAGAAAAGGAGATGGAAAATGGAAGGTCAGTATCAAGAAAAGAAGAAAGTTTTAAAGCTCCTTATAAGAACATCACACACACACACACACACACACACACACACACACACATCCCGGTTTTAATAAAGACTCCATTTTTAGTTACTCTTAAAATAATACATTACTTTAAAGTGATTTTTATTGCTAAGCTAACTGCTTAAATTTGAGTAATTGAAGTGCAGGAAGTTAAAAGGAATATGGTTACCAAAAACAGCCAAGAGTGAATTTGAGATAAACATGTAAGGGAATTATGTTGTAAAAGAAAAGGCACAGCAGATACAGCAAAGAAGTAGGTATTCCAATAAAAATTATTTTGCCAAAACTTCAGTGAAATATTTTGAAGGTCTTAAAGTTCCGTATGTTGTTGCTAGAGAGAGTAATAGCTTGTAAGAGGATTTATGACCCTTTTTAGAGATACAAAATGAGCTGGAGAAACACAAGGAAATCAGAGTGTGCCTCCCCTAGTGTCTTGTGGGGTGCTGCTGATTGCATATATCTGTCTCATTATTGCTGCAGAGGTGGCGATCAGGTAATTTCGCCAACAGAATGCCTTGGAGACAAACCAAGTGTCCAAATTGCAAACACTATTGAATTGAAATGTGTTCACATGAAGTGTGTATACTCCCTTCATAATCTAAACCTGAAGATAGTATTGATGCTCAAAGCAATCGGCAACCCTACTATATTTTTACTGCAAAGTATAAACTGGAACTGAGGTGCTTATAATGAATATATTATCACTTGAGAAGGGGTCTTTCGGTAAACAGATTTAGTAAATGTTCAAGGCAATAATTCAATGCTTTGTCTTATCACAATGATAGCTCTTTCATTTGCAACTGCCATGGGCATGGACATCTTATGAAAGAAATAATCAGTGACCTTGACTTCAGAATGTTACCACATTCTTCTGTTCTATCAATCCATCATATACTTCAATGCACAGAAAAAAGAGTAATCTCTGGTTATCTCATTATTTTTATTTTTCTGGTCTATTAGAGAATTATTTTCTTTTTAACTTTGGAGTAGAGATGAAGAATTTCTGATTTTAATTTTTTTTTTTTAATTTGGGGGTAAGGAAGGAGAATATTGACTATAGATTTTTCTTTTGGCTCTTTTTCCCCCTCTTTCATACCCTCTCCCTTTCAATTAACAGTTTTTTGAGTCCTTGAAGATATACCCCGCACCTTAGTTTTACTGGCCTCTTCCATCACAATACTGACCCCAGCTTTGAAGCCCTCCTCTGGCTGCAGTTGGCTCTGTGCTGTCTCTCGCTGTACCCTGCCCTCTAGTCTTGAACTGATAACTTGGGTGTCCTTTTAAAATTTAAGTCAGTGGCATGCAGACCTCTCCTGCTACACCCACTATTCCCCTCAGCAGTGTATTTCATCAGTCTGACTATTGTGTTCCCCGCTCTGGCTCTGATGAATTCTCTTACCCTCCCGCACTTCTGACTGTACCCAGTGCTTGTATAAATAAAATAAATAAATCTTAAAAAAAAATTAAGTCAGATCCTATCATTTGAAGCATTTTAATGCATACATCTCCCCTAGATGTTCAGATAGGCCACCCCAAGATATACTACCAGACCTTCCGTCACCTGTCATCTTTTCAGGTAAATTATTTCAAGCTAAATTCAATCAAAGCCCTGCATGCTTCAAGATAAACTGTTTCCACTCTCTTAATTACCTGGAAGAATGAAGAAGGGGGCATTACCCAGACTTAGGGTTACTCCAGAAATAAAGTTTCTATCAGAGAAACTGTCTATATGAAGGGCAAACATCATAATATAGATCATCTGGGCTTTTGTCATGAGTTACCCTCTGCTCATCATGTGAGCTTCCCCACCCCCCCTTGAAGTCCCAGACCTCCCTCCCATTCCTTTTTTTTTTTTTAAGATTTATTTATGTATACAAGAGATGGGGTACAGGCCAGAGATGTGACGGGGGGAGAGGATTCACCAGAGTGGGGAACAGAACAGGCAGATTGACCAAAGTGCACTGCTGAGGGGAGCAGCGAACGAGTCAGGAGAGGTCTGCTGCGCCATGTGGATTTCTCCCTGGCAGGCCAGGAATCAAACTTGTGCTGCAGAGGCTGCAGGTTGCTTCATAGTGCTGTGCTTAACTCCTGTGCCACCAGGGAGGCCCTCCCTTTTTTTTTTTTTAAGATGTATTTATTTATGCATAGAAGAACTGGGGTGTAGACCAGAGGTGCGGGGT